AAGTCAAGATAATCTTACGCAGACTGCACCTGTATTGTATAGTTACTACAATGAGAAATTTAAACGCTGATGTAGTTGGGGATCAACTAAAATAACAAATGTACGGCAGAGTACAGTCAATGCCGAGAGCAATCTTAGAGATGAGAAGCGTTCTCTGGTTACTGTGTGTACAATCAGTTACTTCACAATCAATGCAGTGAAACGCGAGACTCCCTAATAGTGTCTTCTAATAAAATGCAATACTGAGTTTGCCAAGTATCATATCAACTAGGCTAGCACTGAGTTGCACAGTATACTCTCATGTTTTTTTTTTTTACAAATAGTGCTATGTTCAGATAATCTGTTTTATTGTGAAGAAATATTTACAATAAGGCCTATATCCAACTTGCCAACCAAGTATATTTCAATGCCATATTAACCCTCTGGAAACTCTGCATTTCAATATTGAACTATAAAAATAATTCAAGTTCAAAATCAAATCATTTGATTTTTGCAACAGACTTTGATGCATAATATCGCAGGGATTGGGAAATCCTCTACTGGCATTTACTTTTAAAGTCAAATTTAGTCTTCATTCACAAAATAAAAACTTGCAAGACCCGTGGGCAGGTAAAATTAAGTACACTTCATCCCCAATTAAAAATACAAAATCAAATTTGCAAAATATTACAGTAATGCACATCATATGGAGGGAAAATGATGATGATAAAAATATATTTTCTTAGACTTTGTGGATTATAATCACCACAGATGTATGCAGTTTTTGTAATTGGGAGTCGTGTTTTGTACTCAAACTATTTTTCAGATTCTGTTACTTGAATTACTGATTATCAACCCAATTTTTGTTTAAATTTTAGTGATTAGCATTTTGATGTTAATTATATTTTCTAGAGATTAACTTTTTCACCACAAGTTCCCATTTTTCATCATAAATTCATAAAATAGTCCTGTTTATAAAATAGGCATATTTGTTAGTGAAAATTGACTCAAATTGTTGGCTCCAAAAAGTTGAAAATATAACATTTTACCAAAAATGTTCATCAAAATTAGTGAATTAAAGATATCATCATGAAATGAACAAACCTAAGAGAGGTCTGCCCAGGTACATATACACCAAGTATCAAAGCAATAAGGGTTTTAGTTTTCACGATGAAGTCAAAAAAAGTAACAAGCAGCCTCTTGGCTGAGATACCTCTTCTGTTTGTTTTTTTTGTTTTTTTTTAGCAATGCACATTTCAATTACAGATATCATCACAACATGAACAAATCTGAGAGGTCTACCTGTAGTAGCTATATAAGTAATAACAAAGCAATCAAATTTGCGGTTATTAACAAGTGGCCAAAAATATCACTTTTTACCAAAAATATTCATCAAAATCAGAGAATTGAAGATATCATCACAAAATGAACAAATCTGAGAGAGGTCTACCTGTAGTACGTGTATTATCAAAGCAATCAGACTTGTGGTTTTTAACAAGATATCAACACGAATTGAACAAATCTCAGAGAGGTCTGCCCAAAGTACAAATACATTGTACGCCAAGTATCAAAGCAATATCAATTGTAGTTTTCATGAAGAAGTTGAAAAAGTAAAAAATTGACACAAACGACAGACAGCGACGGACAATCACCCACATGATAAGCCCTGCTTGACAAAGTCAACAGCGGAGTTAAAATGTTGACACGGATGACGGACAATCACTCATATGATAAGCTCTGCTCAACAAAGTTGACAGCAGAGCTAAAAAGTGCAGAAAATTTGGGCGAGAAAGTTTGGTGGTGAAAAGTTTAAGACCAATTAGACTTTTCATTAAAGCCTCACGGTTGTCGGCACATGTTCTAATTTTGTGGAAAGAAACAATATCCTTTAGATACATTGTATATGTCACATAGGATCCATTTGAACATAATGTGATGCAATGATTGCACTTTGAAGTAAAACTTATTAGTGTACTGATCGTTAATGAAGTATAATCCTTAAGAATTCATAAAAATTATAACTCTTATTTTAAAAGGTTTCTTACATTAACTTTTTCGAAGTACATTTGTAGGTGAAAATGAGAACAAGTCATTGTCAATGACACGTCCCCGTTCTGTTCATATTTGAGTGACATATACATTCAAAGCATATCATGACCGAAATCTCAGACCACTTTCAGTGGTCTGATCTGAAATGCACCTGCATATGTACAACACATTGTACTAAATCTGAACAAAATCCATCCATGCATGACTGAGAACCGATTCC